ACAGGCAAAGGGCAAGCAGCCAGACCCTCTCCCTCCTTTTTCCCCGGGCCGGGCGATGCCTTACTGCGCAGGCGCCAGACCCAGACAATGAAAGGGGGCTTTGAGGAGGGTCTCAGCCACACGCTCGCCCGGCCGCCCACTGCGCAGGCGTGCCCTCCAGACCCGCTGCTGGAACAATGAAGAGCTGCCTGGCTGGAGTAGGACCGCAACCAACCCGGACTACGATTCCCAGCGGGCAGCGCGCCAACTCCACGCGGAGGGCGGGGCGCTGGGCATTCTAGGAGTTGTAGTGTCCGCCGCCTTCACAATCTGGCTGTTTGGAAGATTTTCTGCTTCATTTTCTAGAGAAAAACGATTTTGACAGACATCCTAACTTATACAGAGTTTACAGTGAATCCCTGAGCGGGCTTAGAGATCAACTCCACAACGACCCATTTTGGAGGGGCCTTCACCGGGCCCCTTCTGTCAGCGGGTCGATCCAGGTGGCTGGAGGATGGCAGGAGAGCAGAACTAATCCAAGCTGGGCAGAGGGAAAGGGCGCGGCCTGCCAGTCCGTCTCTTGGCAACCGTCTCAGGCCGCTAAACTGCCTGAGTGGCGCCCTGAGCGCATAGCCCTCTGGGAATCGTAGTGTTGCTGGAAGGCTCATAGGACTCTCGAAGTAGCAAGCTTTCAGCCTGCGAACTACAACTCCCGAAGATCACCATGAGGGCCAGGGAGTAGGAAGAGCCCCCAGGAGATCGGTCCAGGGTTCCTGGCTCCCTAGTGACAGCCGCGACAGGAAGCAGGCAGGCATCCCCCAACCCCCAGCGCTAGGCCTGTCCTCGGAGGGGTGCACTGGACACTTTCCCGCATAACTCCCATCTCTGACCCCATGGCGAAATCCCCAGGGAACTCTACCCTGGAGGACAGTCTGGGGCAATACCAACGGAGTCTCCGGGGTGAGTTGCTCCGAATCTCAGTGCCTAGCTCCTAGGTACCCTGGGCAGTAGTGGGTGGTTTTCCTAACACTTTCCTTGAGCACCAGCCAGGCCGCGGAGAAAGAAGACGGATGTTGCTCTGATCTTAAGGATGAAATAGTTTGATTTTGGTTGTAGGATTAAGCAACGCTGTTAGCTCTTTTTCTGGTAACCTGACCCAACAGGGTACCTACATCTTGATTTAGGTGTCTGTCAGCTAGTGCCAGTACAAACTTGTGGGCATCTCTATGCCTCTTTTACCCTGTTACTATACTTAGATGTTTAACCCAATAAATTTCTCATTCATATTTTTTACACAATTCAAATTCTGGTTTAGTACATTGAATCTTTCTTAGACCAGAAAAAAAAAAAAACAACTACCAATTATTTGAAATAATACGATATTTGTTTATCTACGTTATTTTCATATAGCCAAAGCATTTAAAACTTTATCTTACAAGTGTTCCCATTTTACATGTCAAGAAATCAAAGCTCAGAGAGATTGAGTTGTAGGCCAAAACCCACACAGCTAGATGGTTAGTGGCAAAGGCAGGTATTGAATTCAGGCCTATCCATCTTCAAAACCTATGTATTCTTATTAATCAAGTCACAATTACTATAATCAAAACCCTATTTAGTTAAG